GTATTGAGATGGATTTTTTGAAAGAAAAAATTTCTAAACAATTTAGTGAATACAAAGATACATATTTTAATATTTTTGGATCATATTACAGAGAAGGTGATTATTTATACACTCATGATGATTGTGTAGCTGGAAGAGAAATTGCTTTTATTTTATATTTAAATGATTGTAAAAGCGGTAATTTAGTTATTTATGAGAATGATTGTAAAACAGTTCATTTAAAAATTAAACCAAAACGTAATAGATTGGCTTATTTTAAAGTAAGTGATGTTAGTTTTCATGAGGTTGAAAAAGTTCTTGATGTTAAAAGACAGGCTATAACTGGTTGGTTAAATGTGAAGGGGAAAATAAATGAGTCTAGAGATTTAAAAAATGACAATATGAAGGTACCTGATGATTTAATTTATATCGATTTGCCAATCACAAAAGAAAATTTAACTAATTTAAATCACCAAGAAAATAAGTATTTTTCTATGTGTTTAGGATATTTTGAATTAGAAGAAGAATCAATTGAAAAATCTGGACCTTTTATTAAAAGAAGAGTCAGTAAAATTAATCTAAAGTCTACTCCTTTTGCACCTTCTATTGAATCTTTTAATTTGATTAAGTATGAGTATATTAAAATGGAGCCTAATGATTATATCCTGGTTAACGACGACATAAATGATAAGACTGATAATATTCTTGATGTTTTTATATTTATGGATGATTATGATAATCTAATAAAAGTTCATGATTCTGACATTAGTTATATTAGTGCTGAACAATTTACTTTACTTTATGGATTAAGAAACGGAAAAGTATTTTCTATTAATAATATTAATAAAGAAGTAAAGTTTATACATATGATTTATGAACTGATGTAATATTTTTATAATTAATTAGTTTTTTTTGAAAATAAAAACATTTTTTAATGAATTATAAAAGTTTCAAAAATTAAATCAATATAGCATTCTTGTTTTTATATGAATTAGTCATTATAAAAATATTTTTAATTTATTTAAAAATTTTTTTACTAATTTAATTTATGATTTTTAATAATTAAAATTTTTATAAAAAAATATTTTTAATTATTTTAAATAAAATAACAAATCAAAACTATTATTTTATTTAATTGATTGAATAATTTCATACACATTTATTAACTCATTAATCTTGTTTAATTTGTTTGTAATTATATTTCTAACCTCAATAATTGTATCTATATCACCTGAAATCCAAATAAAACCATTATTACCGATTATAGTAGAAATTTTTTCTGTATTAACAAATTTTATTTCTGATGATTTAAACTTTTCTATTGGTATGGTAATTAATAAACCATTTGTTAGTTTCCCATATTTATCACTTCTTGTGTGTAAAGATGTGTTGCCATTCTTTGCTACTTTTTGTACTTCACTGACCACCAAATCATTGATAGTAAAAATATTTCTCATTTCCATTTCATCTGCTTCTATTCTTCTTCTCTGAGTAACACCTGGTAAATTAACTGCCCCTAATGCTATAGTTGTGTCATTGCTACAATTTCCTTCAATCTTCCACTTTCTATTGTATATTTCTTTTACTCTTCCAATTATAATATCACCAATCTCACATTTATGTCTAACAAAATGATTGGGTTTAACAGTAATTAGTTTGTTTATTTGATTTAACGTACCATAGTAACATGATACGATTTTTCCTTTTCTCAAATTGGTTCCATGACCTCTTATGTAACCAGTATTTTCGCATATCTCATCACCAGGAAAGTAAATTTTACTTTTATTGTCATTTTTACTCTTTTCATTCATGGGCTTTGATTTCTAAATTTTCTTAAGAAAATTTTATTCATTTTTCATGAAAGTATTAACACTGGGTGCTGAACAAGATGTTGGTAAGTCCTGTGTGGTTATTACAATTGGTGATAAGAACATAATGTTTGACTGTGGGATGCATATTGGATATGCAGATGAGAGAAGATTTCCGGATTTTACATTGTTAAGTAAAACGTTGAATCTTAATGAAGTTTTAGATTGTATTATAATTTCACATTTCCATTTGGATCATTGTGGCGCATTACCATATTTCACAGAAGTATTAGGATTTGATGGTCCTATTTATATGACATATCTAACTCAGGCAGTTATTCCTATTTTACTTGAAGATTATAAAAAAATTTTAGAACTAAAGTATAAAGAAAAAGAAATTTTTAACATGTCTCATATAACAGGGTGTCTTAATAAAATAATACCTATTAATATGGAAGAGACACTTAAAAGAGATGATGGTATTGAAATTACACCTTATTATGCAGGTCATGTTATTGGAGCTGCTATGTTTTATGTAAAGTATAATGATGAAAGTGTTGTTTACACCGGGGATTATAGTACTACAGCAGATAAGCATCTTGGACCAGCTAAAATAGATACACTAAGACCAAATTTACTAATAACTGAATCAACATACGGAAGTGTAATAAGAGATTGTAGAAAAATAAAAGAAAGAGAATTTTTACAGGTAATACAGAAAACAATTGATAGGGGTGGGAAAGTTCTTATTCCAATATTCGCATTAGGTAGAGCACAAGAGATCTGTTTGTTATTAGAAAATTATTGGGAACGAATGAGATTAAAAACACCCATCTACTTTAGTGGTGGGTTAGCTGAAAGAGCCACTGAAATATATAAAAAATTTATCAGTTATACCAATCAAGCTGTCAAAGATAAAATTAATATTAGAAATGTTTTTGAGTTCAAAGAGATTCAACCTTACAATAATCATGCTTTATCTAACACTGAATCATCTATTATATTTGCATCACCAGCAATGCTTCATTCTGGTAACTCTTTAAGAATCTTTAAAGAACTTTGTAGTGACTCTAAAAATTCGGTTATTTTACCTGGTTATTGTGCTAGAGGTACTGTGGGTGATAAAATATTAAATGGAGAAAAAAAATTATCTATTCTTAATGAAGTTGTGGATATAAAAATTGATGTTTATAAAATAGCATTTAGTGCACACACTGATTCTTTCGGTACTCTGAAAATGATTGATCAATGTAAACCTGAAAACGTAATGCTTGTACACGGAGATAAAAAAAGAATGATTATTCTTAAAGATTTAATTGAAAAAACTTTTAAACTTAAAGTTTTTTATCCAGTAAATGGTACTTTATTAACTGTTCCATGTGATAAAAAAATTCCTATTAAAATTTCAGAAAATCTTCTTAAATCACACGTAAATTTAACTAAAGAAATTAATGACGTTTCTATTTGTTTAAAACTTAAAAAAGATGATGGTAAGTTTGTTGTTAAAGATATTCAAAGTTTTGATGCTGAAAAATAAAATTTATTAGACATTTTGATTTTCTAGTATTTTTAAAAAAATTTTTAAACATTTTTATGACGTTTTAGTTAAAAAATTTTTCATGGTAAATATTGAGGAGCGTAAAAATAAAAATAATTTTAATAATGAAGGTTCTGTTACATTTGGGGATGTCAATAATGATAAAAAATCATTTACAAGGCATAACACTACTAGAGAAGATTCCTGGTACTTAGATAAGGAATTTGAACAAAAGGATAATGAAGATAAGAAAGATAAAGATTCCATGAACATCAAAACGTCAATTTTACATGTTGTTGTGGCACTTTTATTATTACTTCTTTTATTAAGACTTAATGGTGAATATTTTTCAATGAATACTAAAGAAACTAAATTACCAACCACTGCTGAAGATACTGGTAGAAAGAATCCTAAATTGAATAGCTCTAATAATAATGAAAATGAACAAGTTGTAAATAATGAAGAAATATTATTTAATGAACTTTCAACTCAATCTGTTAATATTAAAAATGATGTTTTTAATGAGTATGATAATAAAAATGAAGAAGTGGATGATGCGTTAATGCAAGATGATAAAAAACCTGTTAATAGTAAACTTAATTCTTCAATTAAAGACAATTTAAAAGAAGAAAATTTAAAATTATCTACAACAACTAATAGTGATATTAATGAATTAAAATTTTTTGTTGAAACAAAAAGTTCTGAAAATGATGAATCTTCAGATTTTAATATTAAAAAAATCTGAAAAACTAAATAGCATTTCATCTATAAAAGATAATTCATTGAATTATTTTACAAAGAGATCATCTGATTTACAAGAAAACCTCAGCAAATCATCTTTTAATGATTTTGATAGAAATTCAGATAATATTAAAGTTGATGAGGTTTCTAAAGAAGAATTTGAAAGAGTGAATTCAAAAATTGATAATAAATTAGATATCAAAGAATTAGACGTATTAAATGAGTCAGATAAAACATTTGAAGATTTTAACTCAGAAGAAGAATCAAAAAATGTAGCTACTAACATTGAACTAGATAAAAAACATAAGATTATTAAATCTGATAATATTAAATTTAAAGAGGAATTGGGTACTAATAAACTAAAAGAAAAGTCTTTTAATAATAATTTAAAAACATTGAATGAGGTTAGTTTTACAGAAGAAGAAACAGATAAAACCTTTGATGAAATTATGATAGAAACAATGGAAAACGAGAATACAACTTTTATTAATAAGGTGGAAACCTTTGATGATGATTCATATGATTTTGAAAAATTAGAAAAAGGAATTCAAATTATGAGTGTTTATACATTTGAAGGTCAAGAACACGTAGTTAGAAGAAATTTAAATTGTGAACCAAAAACTGAAACTAATCAGAAAAACAATAAAGCCAAAGAATATTATAAAAGTGTGTTTGATGATGACGAAAGTGTTTCGTTTTCTGAACAAATTGTTATACCTTTAATAGCATCTGGTCTTTCAAACTCCAATTATCATGATAATGTTAATAGTGTTTCTCAATCAACTAATACAACTTTTAATGTTAATTCAGGTTCAATTCTAAGTCAATTATCTAATTAAATTGAGTTTGTTTATTTATATTCTGTTTTGGGTAATATTTTTTGATAAAGTTTTGTTTTTATAAATATATGATAGAAAAAGAAACTAAAGAAGAACTTGAAGAGTTTAATTGGAATAATAGTGAAATTTACATTTCAGATGATGAAATAAAAGAAATAGAATCGAGGGTGGGTATATCTTCCTTATTTTTTAGAATTTTTGAAAAAATATGTAGTTTTATTTTTCTTATTTTAATTTGTTTAAGAGCGTTATGGTACCTCTTTAATTTGTATAGTATATTTGATAACAATTTAAAAATTAATTTTATGATTGAAAGTAGTTTATTAATAAGTGGAATTTTTTTATTCATTTCATTAATTTTTAACATAATATTGTTTGTATTTAAAAAAACAAAATTATTTTATACTATTGATTATTATATTACAGTAATCAAATTGTTTGTTGTAATATTGTGGTTGTTAACATCTTATTATTTAATTGATTTTATATTTATTGATAGCATGAAATCTTTTAATCTAATTATGAAAAGATGTATTGAAATTGCTATATTATTCACTGTAATGTTAATGTTTTTTAGTTTGTTAATTAAAAAATTAAAACTTTTATTTATCAAAAAATCATTAACTAACAAAATGAAATATGTTGAAAATACTGAAAAAATATTAAAGAGAATACAATCATTTAATAAAAGTTCAACCTTAATAACACATAGCAATGACAGTATTGTAAATATTTCTAGGTTAGAAAGTAGTAAATCAATTGATCTTATAAATGAGTCTGAAGAAGGCATGCTTCTTAAAAAACCAACATTAAATAACATTAATGAAGCTATCAACCTAGCTAAAGATGTATTTAAAAAACTTTCAACCAACAATATTGATATAAATTTTGAAAGTTTTTCTAAAATATTTGAAGATAAACAAGAAGCTTTAGTTGCATTTGATTACTTTGATTATAGTAACGATCAATTAGTTCATAAAAAGGAATTTAGAGACACAATCATTAATTTTTATCAAGAAAGGTTAATATTAACTAAATCACTCAAATCAGTTAAAAGTTTTTGTAATGTTATTGTTAGGTTAATTTATGTGATCATTTTATTTATAAGTTTTTTATTAAGCTTAATTATTCTCAAAGTGTCAATAACTAAGTTTTTAAGTGTTTTAGCTTCCTCTGGATTTGTAATTCATATATTTGGTGCTAATATGATTGATAAGATTGTTAAAAGTATTTTACTACTGATTTCACATCCTTATGATATTGGTGATGAAGTTATTGTATCTAATGAGGAACTTAAAGTTTTTAAAATGGGATTATTATCAACTTCTTTTATAAATATAGAGGGTCACATTTTAAAATTTAATAATTCTGATCTACTCAATAATAAGATATTTAATATGACTAAGGCACCCGAAAAAATACTCATATTTAATTTTAGTTTACCCTCTGAAATACCTAATTCAAAATTAATTCAATTAAAAAATAAGATTTATGATTTCCTTAAAGAGAATTTTTTTGATTATCATGATACTTTCAAAATAGTAAATGAAGAAAAAACAGGTTCCAGTATTAAAAACATCAGAGCATCAATAGTATTGAAATGTAAAGGTTATAAAAATAAACCAAAAAGATTTATGCTTAGAGCTGCATTTATTTCATACTTGTCTCAGATTTGTCAAAACCTTAAAATTAGTTTAGATCACTAATAAATTTAATTTGTACCAGTGTAACTCATTTCAATAGCATTTTTAAGTTTTGATACTTGTCCCTGTAAAATATTAGCAGCTATTAATTCTTCAACTGTTTCTGTTAGATTTGAATGTAAAATATTTCTTTCCTCATTAGGTAAGTAATATTTTTTGTGTTTTTCCAATTGTTTTAACATAAACCTATTTAAAGTCACACCATCATATTTCTCTATTGATATTTTCCACAATCCAATAACAAGCTTCACATCCTTTTTTATAGAATTTTCCATTGTCATATTATCATACATTTTAACAAACTCCTTAAAAGGTGCTTTATTATTAATAAGATAGATGTATTTGTCATAATTTTTCAAATTATTAGAAGCTTTCTCAACTTTAGTTAAACATTTCCTACAAAAATTATCATAAAGTTCATCTGAATTATAAACACCAAAAGAAGGTCCAAATTTTCTAACCCATTCCCTTTTAATAGACTTATTATTTTCAAATGATTTAAATATATCACATAATGTCAATACTTGTGATTCTGTTTTTAAGTCTGTATTGGGTGAATCAAGTGTTTCTAGATAAGCAAAGAAATGAACTAAACAATTTAAGATTAATTTGAGTATCTGTTCTTTATAAACAAAAAGATCCTCAATCTCATCAACAATAGGCCCCTCTGTATGTCTTAAGTTATTATAAAGAATTACTAATGAAGGAATTTGATTAGGTTTTATTTCTTTTTCAACCTTCAATAAAATATCACCTATAACCTTTTTAAGGTTGATTATAATTAGTTGGATGAGACCAATATTTATATTGTGTGCTTCTGTCTTTCCTATTATTTGTGTGTTTATATTTTTAACCATATTAAGATATTGTGTAAGTTTTTTAGTTCTTTGATTTAAAATAGGAAATGTTTTTACTTCAGAAAATCCAAGTATCTTATACAAAGCCTGTGTGTATTTAGAGAGAAATTCTTTCTTATCTAATGATCTGATCAAAAACTTTCCATACAAGTCAATTGAATTTACAACTTTTGGTAATCTTTTTAAGGCATTGAAAAAGGCTTCCTCTATTTTACTCACTATTCCCTCATAATATTTTTTTGATTTTTTACACAGTTCACGTACCATATTCACCTTTATATAACTCTTTAAGTCATCTAAACATTTTAAATAGTTATTCATTAATTTCAATACATTCATATCATCTAAATCTTTAATTCTTAAAATCTTCTCATCATCACTTAAACCAACCTTCTCTATTTCTATTTGTATATTTTCAATCTTCTTAAGTGATTCTGTATACAACTTATAGAAATTTAAAAGTTTAGTTATGTTTTGTTTAGGCAAAATAAATGGTTTAAAAGAGTCCATAACCTTATAATCAGTATTATTAAGTTCATTAATTAGCAACTTACATGTATTTTCTATGTTTTCTGAAAATTTACACTGTTCTTTTAGTTTATTTAATTTATCTCTTATCTTTTCATTATCCTCCATCAATATGTTTATGCTTATAAAATTTAATAAAAAATTTATTTCTTTTTCTTTAACTTCTTCTTCTTAGGAACTAAATTTAGCTTGTTGTCAATCTTTTCAGGCTTTTTGTTTCTTGAATTTTTTATATTCTCAACAACCATTTGAACCACTTTCTTCCTATCATTATCAAACACCTTAAATCTACCAGTTACTTCTAAATCTTTAGGATGTCTTCTATTGGCTTCTTCATTATAACTAATTTTATTGTTCTTAAGTGCATTCTTAATCTCTCCCATAGATGGATTATCAACTGTCATGTCTAATGAGTAATGTCTTCCGTTTTTTATACTCTTTGAACTATTCAAATGAACTGGATAAATCATAAAATATTCAGTGCTTCTCATAAAGTTTTACTTAAAAATGAGGGTAAAATTATTTATTTTCATCAAGAATGTCATCCAAATCTAAATTCATTACTGATTTATTCTTATTTTGTTCTAGATCAGTTTTACACAGCATTTCTAAATATTTATCACTTTTAGTAATTTCTTTCTGGTAATTTTCTTCAAGTTTCTTTATATAAGAGTCTTTCAAATCTTTTTCTTTTAAATAATTCTCTCTTTCTTCTCTTAAACTTTCAATAACGCTTTTCTGTTTGTTTATTAATTCACTAGCTTTAAGGTGCTTTTCATTTAAATCATTAATTATTTCTGTTTTTAAACTAACAATTTTGTCATTTTCTACTCTAAGATGTTCGGTTGTTGATTTTAATTCAACATTCAATTGACATGTTAAACTTTCAAGGTCTTTGTTTCTATTACAAAGATACTCATTATTTTCTTTGATTTTTATAAATCCACCATTGAGTTCTTGTATTTTCATTTGAATTTCCAATATTTCACTTACTAGATCATTAACATTAAACTGTTTAATCACTTTAATTTTATCCTTTAAAACATTGTTTTCATTAATCAAATTATTATGTTTAATCATATAACCTTCTTTTTCCTTATTAAGAAAATCAATTGCATCTAAATTCATTTTTGATTTATGAGCAGAATGTGTTAATTTAACCATCATATCAGAAATATCATCTTCTTTTTCATCTAAACATATCTGTAGTTTCTTATTTTCGTTTTCAATTTTCTCATTCATTTCTTTAAGGTTTAAATATTTTTCTTTAAATGTTTCGTATTTATTTCCTAAAATATTTATACTTTTTCTTAATTTTTCATATCTGACATCTGCATCTTTCAATAAATCTATTGTTTTATTTAATATTTCAATTTTTTCTTCTAACTTCCCTTTGTTCATTTCACTAATCACATTATCATATTCATCTTTTAACTTATCTTCTTTATCAACTAATTCCAATTTATGTAACTTAGTTATACTATCAATTTCAACATCTTTTAACTTTAATTCTTCATGATATTCATTTACTAGATTATTTATCTCATCAATAAAATATCCTTTAAATTCAACAAATTGGTTGGTATAAATATTCATTCCTTCTTTCAATTGATTTAAATTTTCTCTTATTTCATCTAAATTAATTATTTGCTTATCTTGAAATGATTCTTCTTTTTTAATAACAAAAGGTATTTCAACAAAGCTTCTATCCTCATTTATACTCACACTATTTTCTTTTATTTTACAATCGGTAAAACTTTTATCTCCTTGTATTTTTTCAGCTTCAACATTTGCAAATTTAATTTTCTTTACATTTTCATTCTTCAAGTTTTCTTCAACTTTTAAATCTTCTTCAATCTTTACATTTTCACTGACAGATTCTAAGCCTTTATTTAAATTTGATCCGGATGTTTCTAATTCTACTTTATTTGTCTCTTTTATATCATTAAATTGTACTTCTACATCTTTTACATCTCTTTCCTTTCTATAATTCATAAATAGTTTACTCTTTCTAAACAACCTGTCTCCAAAATATCTCATAAATTTATGGGTTAAAATAATTTTTATTAAATGAACAATAAACATTATCAACCGAAAACATTTACTAATAAAAAAGTTAAAATTCAAAAAGAGAATGAACCGTTTAAAACTAAACTGGGAACTATTAATGTTGAAACTTGCATTAATAGACTAAATTCTTTCCCTGATACTGATAATCTAGAAAAGTTATTGAAATTAAAAGAAGAAAGTATAGAAATACTTAAAAATGAACTTAGGAAGTGATTATTTATCTAATAAATTTAAAACAGTTAAATAATTTTCTTTTGGTTCAAATTCTATGATTTCATTAATGTTATTTATAATTACTTTAATTTTTTCAGCAAAATCTTTATTATATGAAATCTGCAGTAGAATTGGATATAATAATTTACTATCAGACATGTTATTAATTAAATGAGCTGTGATTAAAATTACCAGATCTAATTGTTGTTCATCAAAGTGTCTTTTGTTTAAGCTTAACCAATAAAAAGTTTGATCAATAAAAACTTTTTCATACTTTTCTATCGTTAATAATACTTCTATAAACACACTTACTAAGACATTAGTATTATTTTTTCTAAAATATTCATAAAAGAAACATGAAAGATATTGTTGAATATAATTAGTTTCAGTTAAATAAAATATCTTTAACAAATATACTATTGACTGATTAGTATTGGTAATATATGCACTAAGAAGCAATTTACTGATAGGTTTAACTTTATTCTCATCTAAATTCTCATCATATTGTTCCATAAAAGAAATTTCTGAAAATGGAATCTTTTTAAATAAGACTAAATCAGTCAACCCTTCTAATACTTTGTAATCCTTATTTAAAAATTCTTTATAAACTTTAACTAATTGATCAAAATCTTTTGTATTGTATAATAAATAATTATATAAAGAAGTCAAAAAAATCATATTATTTTCCAATTTAGGTAATATAATTTCATTTATAATAGCGTTATTTAAATTATATAGATCATCACCAATTCTACTAATAAAAAAACTCGAAATTAATTTTTCTGTCAAATTATCACTTATTGAACTACTTTTATGAATGAGTGTTCCTATAAATTTTTCTAATCTATCGTTCTGATTGTAAAAAATTTTATCAATAAGTTCAAAACAATTCTTATAACAATCAACATCATAAATTATAGTATTAAGAATAGTATTTCTGAGGTATTTTAATATTTTGTTTTGATCTTCTTCAAGTATAAAATCATAATATTTAAACAATACGCTATAATTAAGATCATTTTTTTCTAAAAGAAATTCGATTGGCTTTAACTTAAGTGAATCTCTACCATAATTAGATTCAATAAAGTCATAAAACACATTAAGAAACTCAATAGACTCTGGTAAATCATCTGGTATATGATTAATGAGATAAGATCTTATTACTTCTGCATACTCACTTTTAAGGATATTGTCATTAGTTTTAAAATAATACACAAAATCATTTAAAGTATAATTTGATGTTACATAGTTAATCAATTCTGATTTGATTTCTTTAAATGACACTTTAAATAATAATAAAAGATGATTTTTACATTCATCATTAAATTTAAGGAAATTCATAACTTTGATATAAACATCTTTAAAGAATGTATTTCTTATACTTTTATCTAAGTCAATACATCTTTCAGTAACAACTCTGATAGTGGAATAATCAATTATTATATTTTGCAAAATATATTTTCTTACTTTAGAATTTTTATCATGGCTAAGAATACTTTTTAGAATATCTTTGACTTTAAGATTACGATCATTTAAGATATTTTCCTGGTAGTGTATGCAAATTTTTACTGCAATGTTTCGCACTGATCCTTCTTTATCAAATAAACATTCAGATATCTTAATTACTACATCATTAGACAAATTAAGATTGGCTTCTTCAATGAATATCAATAATAATTGAAGAGAATTTTTTCTTGCTCTCACAGAATTTGAAGATGTAAATTGCAATAAATAAGTGAACAATGAATTAATAAGAGAATTACATTTCTCTATTTGCAATTTATGTATAATTTTCTTAAGAAAAGATGATATCTTTATGGGAAGGTTCATTGTGGAACACACCAAGAGTGAATTAAGAATGTAAATGAACGAATCATCTTGTAATATAAAAGCTACTGCTTTCCCTGTCATTTCTTCATCATCAAAATCATCTTTCTTTTGCAAATTATTAAATATTGTGATCAATTTAGAATAGTTTGTTGTTCTTTCAGCCATAAATTAGGGTTAAAAAATTATCATAAATGATTTAATAATTTTATTGTTTTATTCAACTGATAAAACCTTTTATGATTGATGTAAATATATTTTAAATTAATAAGATTATTAAAAATATAAATAGATATTTTAAGTCATAAAATAATTGTTTTTAAAAACATTATTTTTATGGTCAGAAATTTAAAAGATTTTGTTTTATGATTTTCTGATTATTACAAAATTTTAACTTATTTCATACTTTTAAAAACCATTTGCTAATAAAAGAAACATATTTAATTAAATAATTATTTTTAGAAAAGATAAAAAATTTCAAAACATTTATAATAATAAATTACAAAACAATTTAAACAAAACTACAAAATAAAGCATACTTACATCTGTAACAATTAAATAAATTATATCTATAAAAGTTTTATAAGCATTAATTTAATAAATAAAAATATTTCTTTATTAGTAATTCGTCAAAATAAATTTTAATACGAATGTTATAACAAGATAAATTAGAAACTCGTGTTTAATATATACATTTTATTCTTTACAACTATAAAAAACTATAAAAATCATTTAAATAAGTTTAATAGTTTAATAATTAAATTTTTATTGAAAAGAAAAGATTAAAATTATAGAAACAAATGATACTTATAGCAATTAAAATGATTGAATAAGTAAATTAAAAATTAAAATAATTTTTAAAAAATTTTTTAAAAAAATAATTTCAGACAGATAGAATTCAAAACATATATTTGTCTAGTAGTAGATTGCTGTTATAGCATCG